TAAAATAACAAAATATATATATATATATATATATATATATATATATATATATATATAAAAGAGTGATAACAACGGTTAAAATCATTTCTTTTAAAAAAAATCTTCTAAAAATATTTTGGTCAAAAAATAACTAGTTAACAAATATAATGAAAATGTTAGAGTTGGACTTCACCCAACTTTCTTTTTATGCAATACAAAGGCTATTTATTCATTTAATACTTCAATTATTAACATCAAACTATAAAAATGCTCAAATTAATCCTAATCTCTTATAAGTATGAGCCTTATTTCTGTAATTAAATTTCCTGAATAACTTGGGTAAGTAATTATATTAGGATAAAAGGTCAAAATATGACTAATAAATCATGTTTGATTTATTAATACAAAGTTTATTGGATGTCTAAATTCGGTTCAAAGTTTAAAAAGAATTTTTCAATCACAATCAAACCTAAAATTAAGCTATAGGAGATTAAATCACGACAAAAATTAAATAAAGAATAAAAAAAAACTATATCGAAGCATAACATTATAAAGAACTTTGAATATATAACGATAAAGGGTTAGAAAGACTAACTAAGGAAGGAATTGCAAATCAAATTGAAAGTGCCTTACAAGACATTGGAGATCTAAAGAGGAGGACTGAATTATTTACAATGCATGAAAAATTGACACCAAAATAACTTTAAAGTGAATTTTCGCAAATTAATCTCGGCCCAAAATTTGCTTAAATGAATGCTTCATGTACATGAGAGTACACATATACACACGTATATAAGTATACATATAATTTTTTTAAAAATATATAAAAGTGATTATGATATTAATTTTTATTCAAATAATTTTATATTCACATATATCTTATATCATTTTAATTTATATAAGTGCATATTTTTTAAAGAATATATCCTTATAAATGTATTTACATAGGCATATAATTTAGATTTATAATATATATATATATATATATAATTCTAATAAGAGATATTTAATATATAAAAATATGTTAAACTAATTTTTATAATTATTAAATTTTTAGTTAAAAATAAAATAAAATTGTTGTATTTGTGTTTATAGATTACAATAAAAAAAAAACATATTAATAAATTCAAAGATAACATAATGCTTACATTGTTCTGCAAAAAAAAAGCTATTTTTATTATTAAAAAAGATTGTTTTTAGTGCTAATGGTGAAAGTTGGGAGGTGGGCGAGGTAAAGATGGATGGAACATAATGAGAATAATGATATTGATAGTGATGAGTAGTGACAACAACAATAATATTAATAATAATAATGATTATTTCAACAACGACAGTAACAATAATAGTGATAATAACAATAATAATAATAATAACAATAATAATAATAATAATATTGATGATCACAAATTTGGTAATGGCTAATGACCCTTAGAAGAAGTTTTTTTTGCTTTTGGAAGAACATAATGATGAATTTAGCAGAATTACAAGAGAATCAATCCAAAGATGCAGTGAATTTTGGCTGTATAGTTTACTTAGTCTATCAACTCAAGTAATGACTAATGTCCCTTTGAAGAAGTATTTCGCCTGGAAGAGCATTCTGATGAATTTAGCAAAAATACAAGTGAGTCCATCCAAAGATGCAGTGTCAACACAATTAATGACTAATGTCCCTTAAAAGAAATATTTTGCCTTTGGAAGAGCATGCTGATGAATTTAGCAAGTTTGCCTTTGCTCTCTTTCCATAAACATAAGCGCAAAAACATTAATGTAATGTAATCCAGTTGATCAAATTCAAGGGACCACCACGATGATTGACACAGGAAGTGCCAGTGAGTAGTGACAATAAACTTAGCCAACCTTATCAATAAGAAAATAGTGACAATCAACTTAGCCGTTTTGAAAAATAAAAAACAGTGACATGACATGCATCATCATTGAGGTCAAACAACTCATGCTGTTGGGTTCGTGTGGCCAAGGCCGGTTACAAGTATGTATGCATTGACCACTTCCGACAATACCAAATCCAATTGAGCTCACTGTCACTATTGTTTGCACTATAAGAGTGGTCAACACAATGTTTTGGCCAAAGAGGTCGATTTTAGTGGCACGAGAATATGAATCTTATTTTGTGTCTCCAGCTACTATGTTTCTCTCTTTTAATTACTTTGTTTAGTAAAGCAACTGCAATAAATGTAACATATGAATCTGATAGAATAATATACCTTCCTGGCCAACCTTCAAGCCCCTCAATCTCACACTTTTCAGGTTACATCACCGTCAATGAAAACCATGGGAGGGCTCTTTTCTATTGGTTCTTTGAAGCTCAATCTGAACCCTCCAAGAAGCCTCTCCTTCTCTGGCTCAATGGAGGTTTGTGATTGGTTGTTATCATGCTTGTAACATGTCAACCACCATTGCATAGTTTTTTATATTTCCTCTAAGGTTATGTATATAATTAGAGATATTATTAAATTGATGCTATTTCATTTGATTGGTTTGCTTGGAAGGACCCGGATGCTCCTCCATTGGGACTGGTGCAGTTGTTGAGATTGGACCTCTTTTAGTCAGCAAAAATGGGGAAGGACTACATTTCAACAAATACTCGTGGAATCAAGGTTATGCATATCATATGTATATTATTTCCACCTTTGAATTTTGTTCTTTTGAATATCTCTTGTTATATATAATTAATACTGTGCTAATAAGTACTGCAATAATAAAAAATGAATGGGAGAGATTGATAATATTTTTTACTGACTTGAAAATTTTAAACAATCGCAGAAGCAAATTTGTTATTTGTGGAGTCCCCTGCTGGAGTAGGATTTTCTTATACCAACACATCTTCTGATTTCCCCACCATATTAGAGGATCATTTTGTTGGTCAGTTTCCATTACCTTCTGATTTTGTTGATTAATTAAAGTGCCCATATTTGACAAACTACTTGGAATCAGCTGAGGATGCCTACAATTTCTTGGTGAATTGGCTACAAAGATTCCCACAGTTCAAATCCAGGGACTTTTTTATATCAGGAGAAAGCTATGCTGGTTAGTGTTTAACTTCACCATTCTATGATCTCTCTGTGTCATAAATACGTTACTAGCATAACCACATCTTCATTCTCCATATTTTCCAGGTCACTATATCCCTCAGCTTGCAGAGTTGATCTTTGATCGAAACAAAGATAGCTACAAATACCCCTTTATTAATCTTAAAGGTTTTATTGTAAGTAAATCCCCCCTAACCAAAAAGAAAAGAAAAGAAAAAATAAAACTTCATCGCGGATCTTTAGTTGTTATTTAGTGTTATTTTCTGATCAAAATTAAACCTCAATAATCAATGCCAATCTTCAATACAAACATTTATTATGTAGATTACTGAGATAAAACTTCACTTTTAGTTAGAGAACAACACTAATATAATAGCACATAAGGAAATTCAGATAAATTTTGTCCAAAACAAAAAATTATAGGAGAGCATGTATACCCAGATGATATAATTGCCTTCTAAGTGGATATATTCACATCTTCAGGTAGGGAATCCAGAAACTAATGATTACTATGACTATAAAGGCCTGCTGGAATATGCATGGAGCCACGCAGTTATATCAGACCAGCAATACGACAAAGCAAAACAAGTATGCGATTTTAAACAATTCAATTGGTCTAATGAATGCAATCATGCCATGGACCCAGTCTTCCAAGATTACTTAGAAATTGACATATACAACATTTATGCCCCGGCATGTCGTCTAAACAGCACATCCTCCATAGCTAATGATAACAACAATAACGACCCTGAATCATTTACAAAGGTAGATAATTAATGTCACAAATTTATAGATTCTACATTGTGATCACTAATTTTTCATATCAAATGGTGTAAGTTGAGGGAAAATTTGCCTCTTGCAGATGAGAAATGATTATAGACTAAAGAGGATGAGAATTTTTGGGGGCTATGACCCTTGTTTTTCCAATTATGCAGTAGAATATTTCAATAGAAAAGATGTGCAGTCATCTTTTCATGCAGATACTAAAAGAGCCACTAACGGAACATGGAGTGTTTGCAAGTAACCACTAGAATTTGGTCCTTCATTGCTCTCTTTTAATTTTTACTAATGAATATTAAATGTTAATTTGTGTATCATTTTCTAGTAATTCTATATTCGGGGCCTACAATTTCTCTGTTTTTTCGGTTCTACCTATCTACACCAAACTCATCAAGGGTGGGCTTAAGATATGGATTTACAGGTATTCTTAGCTGTATTCTCTCTTTCTTTCTCTTTTTAGTAATAAAAATAAAACAACGCCTAAAAAGTAAAAAGTAAATAAAACAACTCCTAAAAACCCTACATAGCCACTATGGTCATATGCTTCATAATTTCTACACATTGTTGAGCCTTAATGCCTTATATATAAACAATGTGCATTGAATACACTAAAGAGACATGTGACTACAAAATTAAAGATATGAGTTCTTATTATTCTAATTTTATGTTAAAAGATAACAAAATTTGTTTTGTGGTACAGTGGAGACACAGATGGAAGATGTCCAGTGATAGGGACACGATATTGCGTTGAGGCCCTCGGATTACCTCTCAAGTCTAGGTGGCGAACTTGGTACCATCATAATCAGGTTCATGCTCCTTAACCCCTTCAGTTTTTCTAAACTAAAACATAACTTACCTTTGAAATTTATAATATTATTTTGTATGCTATGTGAAGTGTTGGTCAAGCCAACAAATTTCACATGTATAGTTGAACATAGTTTAGAATAGAATATGTTTTTCTTAATTTAGTATTATTTTACATTTGGCTATGTATGTAGCATTACTCATGTATTTCTACGTACCTACCTAGGTTGGAGGAAGAATAGTTGAATATGAAGGGTTAACATATGTGACAGTGAGAGGAGCTGGTCATATGGTGCCACTGAACAAGCCCAGTGAGGCTCTTTCCCTTATTCATGCTTTCTTAACAGACAAACATCTTCCTACTCGTGGATAATCAACGACTTGTTCTTGTACCACCATTTTGGGTCCACAAGGATGAAAATACACCCTGTGTTTCCATTTTAATATATGAAAAGCAATGCCAAAATGTTAGTGTCTTAATGAAATCAACGTGTTAGTTTCTTATAAATAAACTATAACACACACACATTGATCTCAAGTAGGATAGCACTGCGATTCATTGATCTCCTATTTTAACAGTTTATGTGAAGTGTTGAACTGTAAAATGATGACCCAATGTACGGTTGGACTAATTAGTGTTTAAGTTTGAAAAGTCTCACTATAAACAAATCTAGACTTAATATTTTATATGTTGTGCATCGTTGAAATGCTCTTCTTTTATCAGCCTGAACTTGTGCAAATGTTGTTGGGCGTTTTCAATAAATGATACTTTAACCAAAAAAACAAAAATAGCTGAAGCTCTTCTAAGTTCTAACTCATATTTTAATTTTCTCTCCTTTGCCAAATGTGAGGCTTATATATATTTTTCAATACTCTTATTAAGCTCAAATGGGCTGGTTTATTTATTGGCCCAGTTGTGATTTATTTATGCAAACGTTATATCAACCACCTCTTTCTAATATATATATATACACGTTCTTTTTAAAAAATTTCTTAAATACTTATTTAAAGAAAAAAAAAAAAAAATATAT